TACTAAACTTTACATTATGAATAATAACGTAAAATTGTATTCTATAATATTTTATTTAATTCAAATAGATATTCACAGCTCTATAGAAGATAATTGCAATGTGTGGAAAATGAAGTAAAGTTATGAAATTCTATTTTGTCAAAGCAAAATCAAATAAAATATGCCACTTACGGTGCACATAATCATTGAGTCGATTTGTTTCAACAACGAATAATAACGTAAAACTGTATCTATACAATAATAAACTTGACTTATAAGTACGTATTTATAACTTGTATATATTTATTAAGGAAAATATCAATAAAAAATATTAGATCTGATCAATAAAAATATAAGAAAGGATATTGAAATTATAAACTTGATAATTAGGAGATGCTGGATGAATAAATTTCTGACTAAATAAAAATAAAACAGCTATCTTTATGAGTGTGATTTTTAAATAAAAAATATAATTTAATTAGTAACATTTACGCATTTTGATAAAAAATATTTTTGGTTTATTATTTTCAATAAACCCCTCTCGAAATTTGAGGTTTTACGTTTCAGGATACGCAGAATTCGAATAAATTTTTTTTGTCCGTCCGCCGCCTACCGTCCGCGCATTTTCTCCGAAACTACTGGACCAATTTTTTTTTAATTTGTCTTTAAAAACAGAGGTCACCTAAGGATGATCCTCCTTCATCGACATTTCTATCCGCCTTTTTCTTTCAATATGGCGACAGAAAAACCTGCGTTGCTATAGACTGTAGCGCCTAAACGAATGTACTGATTTTTTAATTTATAACTTATATTTTCTTCAAATAAATATCAAGCTTCTTCGACAGATTATTTGTTTTTGGTAAAAAACAACTATCACTATTTGAGCAACTGTTTTAATGTCATAAATAATTCTAATATCTGTGTGTTGTTTTCAGAAATAAAACTGAAAGTGGTTTAACTTTTTTTATATTAAAATTAAAAATTGTTAATTGATAATTTTTACAACAATACGTATGAAGAATACTGCAAGAATATTTTTTAAGATTAGAAGCATAAACAATGACATTTACTGTTCATAACAATGACTTAACTGGAGCACAATGAATACTAAATTATCTTGTAGAAGATATAGGAAGGAAAATGGTTTATTTATAGCTCATAGTAATTTTATCAGGTGATAGTATTTTATGGTAGAAATTAATGGCCTATTTTCCTATTGGCTATACAGTAATCTAAATATAATATCATAAAATGAAATAATGGAGTAACTCATCGTAAACTACACGATTACGATAAAAATAATAATAAAAAGAAGGATAATTTTCCTTATGCGAGATCTTGGACGACCTGAAGATCGCGAAACTTAAACAACAATAAATTGACCAATTATCTTATTTAAAAAAAATGATTAATTGGATGATTATATTTTATAAGTTTTTATTACGATAGAAATTATGATTATCTACTTTTTCTACAACTAATTTTTCTCTGATAAAACATGTTCCTAACACCACTAATCAAACTTTCTACATATTCCTTTCTAATTCGAGATTGTGATATCAATGATACAAGAAGTGGAACCTATACAATTTTAATTATAGCAAGTCACATCCGCGATAAGAAAATATTTTAAAAGATGAAGAAAACTCTTTACTTTGATACTCTAAAAGATTTTAGGAATATAAAAATAGTTGATTTAATGTGCAAAACTTGATGTTAACCTAACTATAAAATTCTTTGATGTAATATACGGTCTCTTCATGGAGAAAGTTGCTGAAAGAAGAAAAAAAAAAAGAAAAAGAACCCCGTTCAACATGGATTAAAAAAAATATTACGAAGAACATTCTTAATGAATTTTGGGTATTTTTAGCACTTGTTTGTTACACAGGACCTTATTTTGTTTAAAACGATCTCTGTCAGGAGTTGGAGACAGTATAAATTTTAGTACAACCCACCATCGCCAAGGATTTATTACTATCCAATGAACACCCTACATTATATTATAAATATAATTATAAATTCTACCTCTTAATGTATGAAAAAACTTCGGAAAAATGTGAAATAAATATTTTTTTTAAAGTTAGATCAGGGTCTTTTAACTTAGGAGGAGGGATATTTAGGTGAGGTAATTTAATAAAAAAAATATTAAACATGAATAAATAAGATAGCCCGATAAGAGGATAAATATATTATTGTACAAGCTCGTCAGAGATAATCAGTTCTTATTGAAAAAAGTAAATAAATTAATCTAATGATATAACTTCATAATAACAAATGAGAATGATTCTCGCACTGTGGAAGATTATTATTTATTTTGTATGGCCTTAAGATTTTACGCAAAATCATATTTTTCTCGAAGAAATTAAAAAAAAAAATGAATATTTTCACAAAGCAAAATTTACCCAAAGACAAATAAAACGAAACTGTAATTGAGACTTAAATACACAGAATCATCCATTTCCTGAGATATAATAAACTTAATAACATCATCATAAACCCATTATAATAATTCAACACTGGGACCAGAAACCTCAATAGGACTTCACAAGAATTTATAGCTATGATTTGGTTTTATTATTCCTGCTTTAAGGGCCTTTTGATGGCTTAATTTCTTTTCTTTTTTTTTTTTTTTGTTTATATATTTCCTCTATGATTAATTAAACATCTATCTATTATATATCGATTCCGATTTAATACGCCATGTAAAATAATTCTTCAAAAATTAATATTGCGCAAATAATTAAATAATTTTCTTATTCTAGGTTTCAATATGTTTGTGTAATACTAGTTCAAATTACGGATGAATAAAATATATATTAAAGGGAAAATCATACTTTCAGATGGAGTATGTTTGTTCGAATATTACTTTAATTATTTATGGATAAGCTATATAATAAAAAAATGAGAACAATTTTGTCAAATGTATTTCAATCAGAATAAATAAATATTCAAAAGTAATATTAGATACATTCATTTTTTTTGTGTTATTTCTTTAGTTTTATTAGTCATACATCATGCCTCGGTGTCAATAATTTGTAATCTGAATTCGAGCAACTTTTTACAGGTTTAAAAATATTTAAAATCTTGAAATATACATAACTTGATATTATTTTGAAAATGTTGCTTTAAGAGTAGCAGTTATTTTCAGTTTTCTATAGTTTAGAAAAATGATTAATTTCCATATTCTTTAAACTTTTGTAAGCTTAAAATTTTTCATTGAAAAAAAATATTATCTAACGCTAATAGTATTTTTTATTTATTTATTATTATTAAATATATATATATTTTTTGTATAATTAGATATCTCATTTATTCCTAAGGAAACTAAGCAAATTATTCGATAGCAAAATTGTTCCCGAAATACACACAAACTGTATTTTAGGATTTCTGGATCCTAAAACATGTTTTTTTTTTTTCAAAAATGAAATATGTAATTAAATAAGTTATATTTAATTTTAATTTTAGTGTAGATAGGTAAGTAAGTATATTTATGTTGTTATTTTTTTAAGTTACTTATCTTTATGTTATTTTATTTTTATTTATTGTATATACTTTTTAAGTTACTTATCTTTATGTTATTTTATTTTTATTTATTGTATATACTTTTTGATTATTATTTAGTTGTTATTTTTCTTCAGTTTATTTTATATTTTCTGTATATATGGTGTGAATGTAGTCTTACTTCACAATAATTATTGTCTATGTGACAGGATATTATAATACCAAATAAAGGCAAATGTCTCAGTAATACTTATCGAAATCATAGACAGACTTTTATAAATAGATTGTTTTTATTCTTTTAGTATCAAAACTTTTAATTATTGTTGACGAAGAACCGAATGGAGTGATAAAAATAGAAATTTTTAAATATCAGATATTTCAATAACACCTGAAGACTGCAAGATATAATAAAACAAAATTTCTTTGTTTAAATAAAATTAAAAGTTCTCATTATTTGTCATATCTCATTTCTTTTTTCATATATAGACATCGTTTATTTCATTTGATAAATCTCTTTAAGTATTAAAAAAATACTTAAAGATACATAAAATCTCTTAACTTTAAGAGATTTCAGAATTTTATTTTGTGAAGATCTATACATAATAATATATTACAAATTTCTATTTTGCTTTCCCTTATTATTATTTTTTTAAACTGAGATTATCCTTGGAAAAACTTTTGGATGAATAAGAACAGCTCAACTAATGCTTAAAGTTGATTCTATTGTTAAGTTGATTATATTAAAATAGAAATAAAATTCAAATTATCTCTGAAATCATCTTAAGAAGTTGAGAAAAGGAGTCCGTCTTAATAAAGTTATAAGTTGTACAAAAGTGTGCCTTTATGTATTTAAGTTTTTTATTTTTTGTTAATATACATTTATTTTTGGTATTATGATTTTGCTGTTTAATTTATTTTTATTTAAAATGATCTGCTCTCTGTTACTAGTGGCCTTGATTGTGACAGGATGTAATATTGCTCAATAAAGACATGTTAATTACAAATAAAGTGATTACCGAAAATTGAAAATAGTGATTATTTTTTCGCAAAATCAAAACACAGGTGCTTAACCAGTAAATATATATATATTTTTTTTTTTCAATTATTCGAATAGAATTCATAGATTGTATATAATTAAATGAAAATAATTCTGATGAAGATAGAAATTATAAATTATCTTCTGGAAAAGCTATAAAATTAATAATGTATATAAAAAAAGGTACCAATTTTTTTTTAACAAGTTTAGATGAATAAATTATTTTTAAATTAAAAAAGTAAATATCCATCAATAGAAAAAAAAAAGCAAATAAGAATCGCGTTTATTTTTGTATTTTATAAATATATTAAGTATATTGAAAACAATGTTGATAAGATACCTTCTGAATAAGAATAATATTTTAAAATAAAATTTCATACACACCCTTCTAATAGTGGTACAAAATACCAATTGAAGCAAATACATATTATAAACTTTCACTGCACTATTATTATAAAACTAATCACTGATTCGATCTAATTGGCTAGGATAGGACAGAGAGGGTAAAGGTAGAGGAGAGCACGACACAGGCACAGGTCTGTATTTCCATAGCCCCAAGAATGGACTGAGAGTAAGTTGGTACTTGAGGACGTACCTTGTATCCACCGCAGCGGTGGCACGTCACTACGTGCCCTGGGGGGTAGGACATGTCCCAGGGGGTACCCGGGCACTGGGCGACTGGGGCAGATCTCTTCCTAGTCTCTTTGGTGGGGAGTCCCCTCTTCGCGCTACCATCTGGAGGGGCGTCCGCTCTTAGTCCTCCAAGACCTGGAGGGAAAAGCGGAAAAACCTCCGAAGATTGGGAAACGTCTCGATCAGGCGGAGAAGAGCGTGTAAAATCGATGTTGGTTTTTTTTTTCTTTTTTCCTTTTTCAGTTCTGTCGGGGACCGTTGAGAAGGATTACCTAATTCCAGGGTACATAACTGTACCTAATGACCAAGTTTCTCTTCAAGATTACTCGGAAAGGAGAGATAACTTCTATACGCACCGATGCTTGTCTTAGTGCCGGAAATACGAGACTACACACAGCCAAAGTAACAACAGTGCATAAATGACGAATTCTAATATAAGTTATTTATTTACCTATTTCTCACCCTCTAACGATTTTATTGAACATACACAATTTATTGTAGCATCAATAACCGTAAATAAAACCAATTGGGCCAGGCCTCCATTGCTAAATTTATTTATCTAAGCCAATAAATATATTATCTATCTATCTATCTATAGCCTTTCCAGGCTAATAACAAATAATTTCAGGAAAAAAACTTTAAAATACATACGTTATTTATATGAAAAAAAAAAATGTCCTTTCCAAACAAAATTTATTAATAAAGTGGCTAGTGTATATAGGTATGCACGTGTTTTTTGCTTAGTATTAATTTTCTTATTTTTAGGTTATTTTATTTTATTTATTGTATACACTTTTGATTATTATTTTGCTTCTATTTATTTTATATTTTTTGTACATATAGTGTGAATGTTATCCTGCCTCATTATAACTAGTGCCCAAGTGACAGATTGTTGTAATACTCAATAAATAAATATTTTAAAAAAAGTAAGTTTAGAAAATTGAAACTTGTAAAAATAAATTAAGGTAATGAGTGTTAATTTTAAGTATTTATTTCATCACCATGAATTATTTAAATAGAAAAGAAAATATTTTAATTTAGTTTTAATTCTAGTTTTACTTAATACTGACGCTTCGTACAGCAATAATTTTAATTTCAGCATATTTTAATGAATTTATTATTGTTATTTTTTCTAATATCAAATAAAGAAAAAATTGTTTTAGTTTATGCAACATTTTAGCTTTGCTCTTCCAAACTGGGAGTAATTATAATTGTTAATAATTAATTAATAAAGACATAATTTTATCATTAATTAATTTATAAAATAAGTGTTAATCTCAAACATCATATGATTATCAGGGATTCGATATGTAACAACTTGATATGATATAGCTGACAGGGAGTACAACTCCAGTTTGAAACAGACTAAACTAAAGTATTATAGACACTGCAAGCATTTTTTTTAAATCTTACCTTAGTAAAAAAAATAATAATAAATAAATAAAATTATAATGAAATTAAAAATATTGATACTCTAAGCATCGATATCATATGGAACATGATTAAAGTTTTGGCATGGGAATAACAGGAGAATTCCAAACAGAATAGACCATAATGTTTTATTGCAATTTTTGTTTAATCAAAGAAGTAGTTAAAATAAATATTTTTTAATTCCTGTTTCATTTCTAGCTGTTATTAATAAAAAAAGCTACTTTTATATTTTTTAGAGATCTAAAATATTATTGTTGAAAAATTCCTAAAACGGTACAGAAATTAATTTTTTGAAAATTCATTATTTTAATATAAATTTATATAATATATTGCTCATTTAAGGTCAGCTGTCCCTTTTTTGTCATAATTTAAATAGCTAATGTAAATCAACGGAAGAATAAATTTAAAGTTAACTCGTTGTGGCATTAAATGAGCGACGCCATATTAATAAAAAAAGTAGCAGTAAATGATAAAAAAAAAATAATTTTTATTTAATCACATATATTTTTGCTACAACTTTAGGCCAATCGGAGTAACATATTTTAATTTTTTATCACATATAAACTATTATAAAAACTAGAAAAGTTATTTTAAAAAAACAAAGAGGGAATTTGAAAATTTTCTGAATTTTTAATTCTGGTATCTGTTTAAGAATGGTTCACGTTATTCTATTCTAGGCGACGACTAAATTATAATCCTACACTGTGGGCTCTCGAAATCGCTCAACAAATTATGTCGGGGTACCATTACTTTTTTCCAAAATGGTTTATTTACATGTATTCACGTCAAATAATTCTTTTCTAATATAAAAATATGGGATGTTAGCATGCCCCTGCCGACGTCAATAACAGCTATAATTTCTCTTAATGTAGGCTCTAAAAGAATTCTGGAGATTTTTATAAAATTTATGTTTAGATATATCTTCTAAAAGGATTGTCGTTAAATCTTTTTTTAAGTACTTCCTTCATTTTTATTTAAAAATAATTTCCTGTAGATTTCGAGGAAAAAGTACAGAATAACATTATTGGAATTAACTATAAAATTACATGAATTTTACAATATATCCATGTTATACGTATAATTAATTATATAGTATAATAGATGCTTTATCCCACTTATCTCTGTTGAACAAATTCGATACTTAGGACTCCACCTGGACAAACGACTCACTTGGAACCCTCATACCAGACTGAAACGACTAGAAACCGTAAGACGTTTTCGACTACTGCAGCACTTACCAGACAAACGCTCTAAACTTCCAACTATTTACAAACGATTCATGAATATTAATATAATATGGCCTATTTGGACTTACGGGGTCGAGCTTTGAGGCTCTACTAAAGCATCAAATTCCTCTTGTATCCAATCCTTACAATCCAAAATCCTCAATGCTCCCTACTTTGTCACAAATAGCGACGATAATGTACGATATGTTTCCGATTTAGCTCGATCCGGATAACTATCCTTCCATAATAAACTTCTGAATCATCCGAACTCTCTTGTTTCCAACCTTGCTTCGTCTTCCATTCCTGATAACCCTCCGAGCCGTCTGAAAAGAAGATGTCCTCGGGACCATCTAATATAGAAATAGAATTGAAAAGCTACCAATGGGTAGTTTCTCTTCATGTTTTACATGACATGTTACTTATTTCATATTTACTTGTTGTATTTATCATTTAATGCAGTTGTAAATTTTATTAAAAATAATTTTAAAAAGTAGATGCTTTATTGAAAATTGAAAACAAAATTAACAATTAAAATGTAGAGTGCTACCAATGGGTAGTTTCTCAACGAGCGTGTTTCATGTGATAATATTCCTCTGTACATATTTACTTGATGTATTCATACTAATGCAGTTGTAAATATCATAATAAAAGTTTTTAAAAAAACAATTAAAACAAATAAAGTCGTTTCAAAATTATATTTAAAAAAAGTATGTAACTTACATGACTGGTTTATACAAATTATAAAATACCAATACAAATAATAGGATAACAATTAACACTGAAACATGAACTAAGAAACTCAATTTTTATATAATAAGTTCGTAACTTCTTATAGCAAATATGGAATGATCTGACTCATTCAAGATTACTTCATACGACCATGCCTTTGATTATATTCACTATCCACTATTCGATTGTATTTTAAGCTACGTTTTTCCTACTTAGTGTTATTAAAAAAAATACTCCAAAGTAAATGCGACAACTCAAGAGAGAATATAAATTACGATCTATATTATAAATGGACTCTAATAAATTTTGAAAGACTTGAATAAACACGATTTATACTATAAAAATTACTTTAAATATTTAGTTACAGTCTACGAAAATAATTAATTAACTTATTGGGGGGGGGAGGGAAAGGGTGGTATCTGCTGCTATAAAAAATAATAAATTTTATTTAATACTGACGAGAGAAAAAATAATCAAAAATAATTTTTAAAATATTTGAAATCAAATTATATGTTATGTGTTTACGAATAATTTTAAAGAATTATATTTAAAAAATCGTTATGTAAGATGAATTAAAATATATAAAAATACACCTTGTATTGCCGGTTCATTGCAAAAAGTCATTAATTGACATTTCATTGGCTCAAATAATTAAGAATTTCCATGAATTTTCCCTTTGTAAAAGCAGAAGATTATGCACTTAATGTAACTATATATGATGAAAAGAGAGTCATTTTCATGCAATTACCATCAATGTTGAATAGATCGAATTAATCGAAATTAAATCGAAATTAAAATTAAAAAAATTGAATGTTAGCCTATACCAAAAGTGCACTTATTGATTTATAGCATTAAACCAACTTTATGTTTTTAAACGGCAAAACATGAAAATATTATATTTTGTGTACCATTACATAAAATACTAATATTTATAATACTACCGAAACGTCGGCACAAAAGTAAATAACATTTTTAAAATGTTATTTGTGTTTCTCACCGACTGCGACCCTCAACTGTATTATCTAAAGTGAACAATTCCTTCTCCATTATAATACAAATTAAATAAATTCAGAAACATCAATACAAAAGTACAATTCTTCTCGTCTTAGTACTGTGTGCTGTAGGTATATTTCATTTTATTACAATTCGAACGAAAAACTAATTCAAATGTAATATTGTTTAAAAACCATACACACTTCTTTCCATTTTTTTTTTTTTTTTTTTTGAATTTCTTAAAATATGGACATGATTGGAGACCTGTTTCGACGAAATCCTCTGGAAGGTATGCTCGTGATACAAGATCAGATATAGTAAAGAACCCCCTCGGAAGGACTGTTGAGAAATCTAAACATATAGCATTAAATGAATGCTTTAGTGAGACATGTATTTAAAGCTTCCGTATATGATCAAATAACCAATTGACGGAAGATAAAATTTCAATTATCAAAATTACTATGATCCTAAGATGACAAACTACAATGCAGCTCGAATCACCAAGGTCGATAGTCAAGTTGCATCAGTGTTAAGAAGTTTAGATTCCAAACATCCCAAGCGTTGTTAAAGAAATGTCAAACTCGACACCAAATGTTATCTGATTCAGTCTAAAGTATCACAACATTGAGTATAATTTAAAATATCAATAATAATAAAAAAAAAAGTTTATCTAAACTGCTCCGATAGCGATCGAACCTTCAGCGCTATAAATGATGAATTAAGCAGAGTAGAGTCGATTAATTAGGCTTCATTTAGGCAACAGCTGCCATGACAATAATCACATTGTAATGGAAGAGATACCACGATATTAGCTCTTGATAATTACGATCTCTGAATATGAATGTGCTATCATTAGAATATTATTTTTTAAATTACTATTAACAAAAATATTTATTTTTTCATAGTTAAGGCAATAATAATTCTAATTTCCTTCAAAGGGATTTGAAGTATTATAAACGTAGGCTGAACAAAATTATAAATGTAGGCTTCCTAAAAAAAGAAAAATAAGAAGATAAAAATATTAATACATCAAAAATG